AAACAAAAAAAAAAAAATTTGTAAAATAAAAAATCCAAATGAAAAAGATAAAAGGAAAAAAGAAGAAATATATTCGAACAAAGTTTAATATAAAGGAAGAGGACATAGATAAAATAAAATCTAGGTGAATCTATCGTGTGGCATTGCTCCAGGGATGTGCCCTGTGCACCGATAACACCGATAAAGCTAAAATCATTGGAGCGTGCACAACTTTTACAACAGGGAATTCCTAATTTCGATAATGTTGTGAGATATATTCTGGATAGGGGATGAAAACTTTCAAACATGCTTCCAAGATTACTGCTCGTTTCTTTTTTGTATTGGATCGAAAATTTCGTTTGATAGATAAATAGGTAAATAGGTAAGTTATATAAATGGTAAAAAATTAGGGAAGAAAATAAACACGGATAGAAAAAAAAACATCAAATGAGAAAAAGAGAGAGAAAGAGAAAAAGAGAGAGAGGGTGAAAGAGAAAAGAATAAAAAACATGATATATATATATATATATGCATATATATCTTTCGCGGGGGGAAGAACTCACGTCTCTACCTTTTTAATGGTGTAAGTTGTAGTTAGTCTTTCGCGTAGTTTATCGCGTATTCTTCCAGGGCTAACCGTGGCCCAGAAACTTACGACTTTTTTGAGAAAGTCGGCGTTGCACGCATCCGCCGTAATATGGGGATGGTAATGACAGTAACATCCCTCCTTCAATAGCTTCATGTTTTTCTTAGCGGTACCGTTTATCTTGAACATGATATCCCTACGGGCAACACTCAAACCGTCGATATAATATTGCGCCCAGGTATTCAATGCACCGTTAATAATACGTAGCAGTTTTTGATAATATCCTTCACCTAAACCGTAATTTATCTTTTCCCTGACATTTTTGCAATTGAACCAATAAACTTTTTTCCATTCGTTTATCGATATCACGCTTATCGTATGACGACGACATAGGCAGGTATATTTCTTCGATTGTTGTTTATACAACGTCTTCAAATCCGTATAACTACTGCTCAGACTCAACAAATCCAGGGTACTATTCATACATTTGATCGCCCATCTCGGCTCTACCATTATTCGTCGATGTTCTGTCGATGCTTTGATTGGACGAAGAAAGAGAACATTTGTTTTTTTTTTCTTTTTTTTTTTGGGACGGGGCTCAAGCTGGGGTTGGTTGGGGCTAGGGGGTTACACGGTGGATGGATGGATCTTAAGAAGGCCGCTCAAACGTGCGGTTTTTCACGAATAATAATTCTTCTGAATAATGATGAATGGAGAACAACGATTCGACTAAAATTCCTGTTATTCTTCCATAAGAAATGAAGAAACCTTCCTCTTCCATTTTATTTTTTTATTTTTTCTTTTTTTTTTTCTTTTTGTCTTTTGGACGGGTAAGAGGAAAACACACGCCACACACACAGAGAGAAAGAGAACTGTTTCTTTTTTTTTTCTTTTCGAAAAATAATAGCAATACCAATCAGAGGGTAGTAACTATCTAAACTTTCCTTTTAAGCTCGATTTTTTATTTTTTGTTTTGTTTGTTTTATGCAAATGTTTGTTCACTCCTATTCACAGAAGTGAGAAGTACTTTTTGTATTCTATTTCTTTTTTTTTTGTTTTTTTTTTCTATGTAATCACTCGTTTATGGTTTATACATATATATATATATATATATAGAATATTTAAGAAGCATAAAATTCACGATCCTTGTCGTATAATTCAACGATCTGTTGGACGAAAGCCATCGCTAAGGGTTCCAATTTTGTCGTTAACGTTCTCAATACCCCGATAACTATGGTTGATGTGAAATAAAAGACGAATAATCTGTAAGCCCGGAACATGTTACGACAAAGTCCATTGAACGAATATTAATAATAATAATAATAGCAAGTACTTTGATTCTTTGCAATTTGTTCATCACCGACAATTTAAAACTAAAATCATCAATCATTCGACGATACATCGTCCTTGATTTACTTCTATGTTCAGTTTTTATATTTTCTATATTTTTATTTTATATTCTTTCTTTTTATTATATTATTATTATTATTGTTATAATATCTCTATTTTTAATTGTATTTTTTTTTGCCTTTTTTATTATTTTTCTTTTTTGTCAATTAAAACGACCATACGTTTATCGAATAAGGCAGATCTTCTTTTGCACTCTATCTTTATTATTTTTATTTTTATTTTTATTTTCTAAAATTCACTACGCTATTGATCCTATCATCTAATATAATCGTGCACAACGTATATGTATCTACGTAAGTATTACGTATGTATATATATATATATATATATCTATATATATATGTATATATTCTATATTTTCTCTAAGGTACTCTAGTAAAGAGAACCTTTCAAAGACAAAACGGTCCTCTCGTCAATACCTATCACTGTTCAATTCGCCCAAAAGGCTTTTTCTTTCTGCCACCCACGTCAAATCTAAATTATTTTAACAAACTTTATCAAACTGATCTTCTCTTTCTCTTATTTTTTTTTTTTTCTTTCCCTTATCTACAAAGATCATCGGTATCGTCGCTTTTAACCCGTTGCAGCAGCCCCCCCCTTTTTTATTTTTTTTTTTCCTTTTTTGTCAACGAGCCAAATTTTTACCTCTTATCGGTTCTTTTCTTTTCTTTTCTTTATCTATTCTTTTTTCTTTTCTTCTTATCTTTTTTAGAAATTGCTCGCAGCAATAGAGCAAAATGTTCATTTAACTCTCTCTCTCTCTCTCTCTTTTAAAAGTAAGTATACAGAATATTTTGTGCAATACCACACATAGAAACGAATTTCTCCGTATAAAAATAGGTATTATTATTATTATTATTATTATTATTATTATTATTATTAATATTTATACTATTTAATATTATTAATATTATATTATATATTATTATTATTATATATTATTATTATTATTATTATTATTATTATTATTATTATTATTATTATTATTATTATTATATATTATTATTATGCACCTTTCATTCGCGATTATCACGTATCTCTATTTTGGTTTTCTCTCATTTATATTTTATTTTATTTTTATCTTCTTTTTTATTTGTTTTTTTTTAATTTTTTCTTTTCTTCTTTTTCTTCTTTCTCTTCTCCCGTTAGATATCTTTTTTCTTTTTTTTTTAAATATACATACGAATATATATATAGATATACATATAATAAATTTCTCGTAAATTAACGAGAAAATAATTTTTATTCTGATCGATCAAAAAGAAGTGTTGTATAAGCCCTTTATATTCTGATGAACTTTACCGTTTCTCTTTCCCAACCTTTACTTTTCACTCCTCCCTCCCACTCTCTCTCTTTTTTTTTTCTTTTTCTCTCTCTCTCTCTCCCTCTTCTTTTTTCTCTTTATCGACAAACTGAAATCGTAACGATATTTTCTAAAATACGATTACACCTCGACTAATAGCCACAGTTCAATATCACAAAGAATGAACTATCACGATTTCTTCGAGAATAAATTTCATCTTTTTTTTATTTCTTCTTCTTCTTCTTCTTTTTATTCTCTCTTTCTCTCTCTCTCTCTCTCTCTCTTCCTCTCTTTTTATTTCTTTCTTTTTAAAAAGCCCTTTTTTTTCTATAATATTTTAGTCTGTTCAAACTTGGCCTTTGATTTGTTATCCTTCGAAGTAAAACTTTTCATACACGACGATAAAAAAACATCACCGATTTTCTAAAGCAAATGGATAAATAATGTAAAGATGAAGAATACAGATATATATATGTATATTCTATAGTTAGACACAAGCATACACACGCACACACAGACACACACACAGAGAGAAACCGTGTACGCAAACAACAGTTTCTTCAAAATATGGGGGATTGTTTTGAACCTCTAATAGTTGTCTATACACGTTAATTAAAAAGTTTAAAGTTTAATAACTATTTGAAACATTCCACGCGAGTTTCATTAAATTCCAAAGAAGAATATAATCGATAGGAAAAGCGATTAAAGTAATTATCGATTAAATTAACACGACGATATGAAGCAACAGCTGCACGCACATCCTTCACCTATATATTCTACTATATCATCACCAGTACCACCACTACCACCAGTACCACCACCATTATCACCAACCTTTAACGTTTAACGATTTAAGTTTATAAAAAACTTTCGACGTATTTACGAAAAAATCGTTTTTTCAATCAAACAATGTACACTCTTTTTCTACTTTTACTCTTTTAATCGAATATTTTAAAAGAAATGAAACATGGATGTAAAAATTTTGTCATTTATCGTAAGATCGATCCATCCGGATGTAATCAATTTTTTATATGACGATGATATTAACACTATGTATCCTTCCATCTTCTTCACAATGATGGAAATGAAGACCAATGATGATGACGATGACGATGATGATAAAAAGGACGGCAATTTCCGCCGGATTTGCTCCACCGGTGGACTTGGATGTCCTCCGTGGAGAACCCGGCGGTTAACACACCGGATTACACCTTTTAACGATTGACAAAACCGGTGAACGGATGTTTCCGTTGAGTTCCTTTGTAAATACGGCTTAATAATTATATACTCGCGCGCTCGCTCACGTCGTATGTTCGAATAAATTTCTTGGTCTATCCTTTAATGAAAACAACGTTGCTTGAAATCCTGACGAATTCTGCAACTGTTACTGTTATTGCAACTGATGATGAACGAATGAACAACGTACGTACGAACGTACGTACGAACGAACGTACGAACGAACGAACGTACGAACGAACGAACGAACGAGTTAAGAACTACGTTGTTCTTCCAGTGTGTTTTCCTGCGTCAGTATATAAGTGTGTATGTGAGTATATATAAAAGTATGTGTATGTATGTTATTTTTTTTTTGTATACGTGTGCGCGTTGATATGGAATAGAAAGAGTACGAAAAACAGAGTGAGCAAAAGAATGTGTGTATATATGTGTGTGTATGTGTGTGTGTGTGTGTAAGAGAAAAATAAAAAAAATAGAGTGAGTGAGTGAGTGAGAGAGAAAGAGAGAGAGAGAGAAAGAGAAAGAGAGAGGGAGATGGATAGACAGAGAGAGAGAGAGGATGCTGAGCGCGCGAGTCGCTTCCTCGAGCGAGTCTGCAGCGGCCGCGAACGTGCTCAGCTTCGGACTACCACTGGAGAACAGGGTAGAGAAGCTGCTACCGCGAGGGGAATCAATACCTCGCTCCTTCTGGAGGGTTAGCGAGGAGGTGTTGAGGGGAAGGAAGAGGTGGAACAGGAGCCACGGTAGTAGGGATTCTGGTGGGAGTAGGAAAAACCAACCCCTTCTCTTTCTATCTCACTTACTCTAACACGCAATCGTAATATCTCTATCTCACTCTCTATTCCTATTCCTGTTCTAGGTTGGAAAGAGAAAGAGAGAAAGATAGAGATAGAGAGAGAGAGAGAGAGAAGGGGGTGGATAGAAAGCGTGTTTCGAAAGTGCTCAACTAGGAACGGTGGAAGGGAGTTAGGGGTGCGCTACCACTGCGGGAACTTGAAAAATGTGTGTTGTTGTCTGTGAGTGTATGTGTGTGTGTGTATGTGTGAGGCATGATTCTTCTTCCTTCCAATTATATGGATATATAACGAAGAGGATATAACAGCATTGGTCGTTGCATCTTTCCCACTTAAATTCGATATACGGATCCTGAGTCCAGAGGTTGGAATTTCCAGTTGGATGATATTATATTGCGTGTGTCCTTCCTGCGATTCGATATAGCGCGCGCATCGTCCTATTTAGAATAGCTACGCTATGTACACACACGTATATAGATAGATATATATATATATATATATGTGTCTGTATGTGTGTGTATGTAAATACTATATGTTCATGCACATGTACGTAAATTTCTATATATGTATGTAGATATGGACGGATGTTTGTGCTTTGCGACAAAATTTTAATCGATGGCCACTGTAGGATAAACCAGTCGCGAATTGGTCCGTTGGAAAAAGCGCGAGAAATTGCATTCGAATTGACAACGACAAGCACTCTCGTCGTCGTCATCGTCTTCGTCGTCGTCATTGGTTTACTTTATTGATCGACCAAAAGAATGAATAAACATTTGGTTTGATTAATTGTAAAATAATATGAAAGTGTTGAGATTGATCTTGCTAAATTTATCATTCATTCTATTACCAATAGGAAGATATTTTTTCCTTTTTTATTTAAATGCTAAAGTTTGTTTTTTTATTTTATCTTCGTTAACGAGCACGCGTCACTATTGTGTGTATCTACTATTATTCATATGGTAAGTGTAAATGTGTGTATACGTGTGTATTTATATATATATGTTAGAGAAGGAGTATGCGCATTAAAAGTATACCTCGAATAAGATGAAGGTTTTAGTTTTATTATAGTTCGATTTAACGTTGAGAATATAAACTCAATCGATTACATGCTACGTAAATAATATTATCTATTTTATAATTAACGTTAGAAAATAATTAGCCGTAACATTTCATATATATCTTTGAAAAATAAAAGAAAATAATAAAGAAAAAAAAACTATATTAAAAACAGTTAGTTAAACGTATATACCATAATTGGTGTTTCTGATAACGGTTACTGCTACTACTGCTGCTACTGCTGCTGCTGCTGCTGCTGCTGCTGCTTTTTAAGGATACCTATACAAAGTTCCCGTTAATTGAAGGTAAACCTTTACAGACAGGCACAACATTTTCCTCATTATGTTTATCGTCGTTTAAATTTTCATATCCCACCCGGACATTTAAAAACACGTCGACCTGACTTTTATCACATTTATCAGTACTAACCCTCCCTCTGTATGATAAAATGTTAAAATAGGGAAAATAAGAAGATGATGAAGTAGAGAGAACGGATGATGAGATGATACACGTTTGCGCATGCACCTGTTGTGTCGTATACTGCCTTTTGCTTCCCTCTCCCCTCTTTCTCCCTCCCTCCCTCTCTCTCTCTCTCTCTCTTGTGAAATGGCATAAAAATAACACACAGACATATATATATAAGTAAGTTTGTCTATAAAAATATAAAAATTTAATAATATATATGTGTGTATGCATGTAAATATGTAATCGCAAATATTTGATAGAAATATATTTAACGACCAAAAGGTACATATTACATAAATAAAATAAAATCCAATGTACATAGGAAGCGACGAAAAACAGAGCAATGTTCTTTTGCAGTCAAAGGAAAAGTTGCTCTGCGGTTGGCGACGAATTCATAAAACGAGTCGCAGACGAGGGAACAAAGTCAGCAGGTTATCGATATTTTCTCGGATATACATACGTATGCGAGAGTATCATCATCATCAAACCATATGTCAACGAAAGAGAGTGAGATAGAAGAGACATGAGTGAAAAAAAAAAAAAAAGAAAAAGAAAAAAAAAAACGCGTTGCACCGTGTGTACGATGCATTCTTTCCACGCTCTCGTGCACTCGGCTATTCTCTCATCAATGTGCCCGCAAGAAAGATTTCTACAGGTGTATGCGTTTATCCTCTCTCACGCGATGCGGATCAGAGAGTAAAAGAGAGAGAGAGAGAGAGAGAGAGAGAGAGAGACAAAAGAAAAAGGTAAAAGATAAAACAAACGTACAGCAATGCTGACACACATATCTTTTTTTTTTCTTTTCTTTTCTTTTCTTTTTTATTCGGACCAATGCTATAAGTACGAATAATGGTATTATCGATCTATCCAATTTCTATTATACTCTTTCGACGATGATCTTAATTAAAGAGAAATATATATATATATATATTTATATCCGTTTCACCTGCAATTATCGTTAAAAATCCTATAGGATTCATTTCACGAGATTAGAGACTTTTCTCGATCTATTAAATTATACGACTAATGAGAAATGATATGAGTTTAAGTTTGTTCGCGTATGTGTGAATATTAATTAATGACATTAGTGTAGATACTTTTAGTTTAATTATTATTGTGTTATAATATTTGTTCAATAATTATTATTAAATATGAATCAATAATATAACGTTCAACTGATTGTATAGATTTGTAATAAATATGCTTACCAAAACAATCCTACGTAAATTATTGACTGACACAATATAATTAATTATTAAAACGATTCAATTTATATTTGAAGTTAAATCGAACGTAACTGTAATAAACATACCCTAGTAGCACAAAATATTGAATACACGTGTATTTAATATTAAAAAGAGATTCAATGTCTTTCAATGTCTTTTAAACACATTGAAGACATTGAAAGACATTGAATCTCTTTTTAATATTAAATACACATGTGATTCAATATTTTGTGCTACTAGGATATTTTTGTGATGTTTTTTCTATGATCAATTATAATCTAAATGAAAATGATAAACATATCTTATATATATAAAATAATAAATCCGATTAAAAATTAAACGTAAACTCGTATAATATTCGTAATATTAAAAGATAAACAGTGATGGGTTTGTAATATTTCAAATCTACTCCCCCACCCTCTCGATTTCTACGAAATATCGCGGCTTATTGATGCAAACCACCCTTCTTCCACCCCCTCATCCCTTCCCACAGAAAATGTCGGCTGTTTACAAGGCTTTCAATCGCAAATGGATGTTTGAAACAAGCAGCAACAGCAACAGCAACAGCAACAGCAGCAACCAACTAACAGCAACACCAGGTAGAAAGAGAGAGAACAAAAAAATCTCTTCAAAGAGCCTTTAAAACTAATACCTCCGCGTTCTGCCGGTTTATATGAAGTTGAAGAAGAAGAAGAAGAAGAAGAAACAAACAAAAAAAATCGAGAGAAAGAAATAGAAATAGTAAATGTAGCAGTGTCTGTAAAATTGTGCGTTTTAAGTTTTTTTTTTTTTTCGTCGGCACGGGTATGAATGCTTATCCGCGTTTTAAATATTTCTCGCTCGTGCGCCTACATTAAAATTAGAAAAAGAAGCAAAAGAAGAAGAAGAAGAAGAAGAAGAAGAAAAAACAAAAAAACAAATAAAAATGAACAGAAAATAACTGTTCACGAAAACAAAAAAAATAAAAATATTTTCAACCGATATCTCTCGCGATATTTTGTAAACTGTACACCTTGCTTTCTTTCTATTTTTTTGTTATTGTTATTGTAGTTATTGTACTTTTATTTCTATTCTGACGCGTGAAATATCGTGTTATGGTATAGAAAAAAAAAATATATATATATATATATATAATTACTAAAAATATAATATATAATACTAAATTAAATAGAAAGTATAATATAAAATATAAAATAAAATTTAATAAAAAAGTAAAATATAAAGTATAATATATAATTACTAAAAACTTATATATCTATATGTAACTCTTACATAAATATATAATTTATATATATTTAATAATATATAATAATAAATAATTATATAATTAATTATAAATTATATAATATAATAAATTAATATAATAATAATAAAAAATAATATATAAATATATATATATATATATATATTTGGATAACGTTGAAAACAACAAAAAATTTGAGTTTGCGTTTAAACGAAAAAAAATAAGGAGAAAAAAAAATAGGTGTTGATTAAAAAAAAAAGATGAAAATAAAAAAGAAGATAATTTCATTGAGTAACAACTACTCAAGTCGGCTGTCTTTTCTTTTTACTTTGTAGAAGAAAAAAAGGAAATAGATTCTCTTTTCACCCTCTCTAACGCCCCTATAGTGACAGGGTGGTACTCATGTCAAACATTCGATACAACGACGACATCGATGAGGTACTTCAGAGGAATCTTGATATATCGACACGATAAGGTCAACAGCTACTTGGATAACTCACCTCCGAAGACGTCAAGTAACAAAGCCTCGAGTCCGTGCTCTCCAAGGATGCTTGTTGAACGATTCCGTATCTACCATCTCTGTCGGACATATAATCGGAACGTACGCTGTCCTGTCTGTCGAAAGTACCTCTGTAACAAAACCAAATTTTAATTATTTCAATATCTAACCATATAGAATTATTTTTCATATTAAACAATATAAAATCAAATTGATTGTTTGGAAAGTAATTTCGTTTTTTTTTATTTTTTTTTATTTTTTGTAAAATTGAAGACAATTTTTGTTAAACCTAGGCCTTTCAATTGGACATAAACAATCGAATTTGATAAATTTAACCTCTCACCGATCTGACGTGTTGTTATTTGCCGATTTGCATTAACTAATGCCTAATATTAGGTTGTACCGAAAATTTCTTCCTTATTTTGATGATAAATTGCAGAATATTGTATGCATAATATTTTGCATGTAATTTTACTAAATAATATCTAATTATAGATATTATTATATTTTAAATTAATAATTATATATTATATATAATAATATTAATAATATATAATATAATATAATAATAATAATAATAATATATATATTATATTATATACTAACTATAGATATTATTATATTATTATATACTAAATTAAATTAAAATTTAAAAAATTTTACTAAATTATAATATAAATACTAACAATATAAACTCTATTTTACCTTTTTCTATACTTTCAATTATTCAACCTAAAAACTATTGTCCCCATAAAATTACTAAAAAAAAAAAAAGACGAAACTTTTAAGACGACCTAATACAATTAAATCCTCTATCAGTCAAAAAACTAAATTACTTTCCGAATAACCCAATATTAAACCCAAGTAATAATAATAGTAATAATAATAATGTTATAGTAGAATTTATCTATAATTTAAATATCATATCGAGAATAATTTTGTATAAGTAAAAATGCTATACCATTTTGGTGCAATGTAGAAATGACAGAAAACGTTTCCACTTTCTTATAATATTCGTGTTAAAAAAAGCATCGTAACGAGGAAGAGAAGTGAGACGTAAAATCGTGCACTGATGGTTTTGTAAAAAAGAAAAAAGAGAGAAAGAAAAAAAAAACCCTCCCTTTTTCTAGAAAAAGATAAAGAATCTGACGTTATAGTGTGGGCAATGTTGGTGCGTCGGAGCATTTTAATATCGAAACTCGTGCGATTTTTTTTCCATCTAGACGCACTGCAATCACAGGTGGTGACGTTTTAAAAATCGTGCCTGAAACGAGGTAGCGCTCAGAAAGAGAGAAAGAGAAAGAGAAAGAGAAAACGGCCAAGAAATGTGGTAAACGTGAAAGGAGAACGTAGCACAATGAAGGTAGAAAAGACAATGAAAACAATGCAGCAAGTCGGAGGTGAGTTGGCTGGGAGTGAGTGAGAGAAAAAGAGACAGAAAGAAGGAGGAGGACTCGAGCTTTACTCCTGATGGGAGAAAGAAAAAGAAAAAGAAAGAAAAAGAAAAAGAAAGAAAAAAAGGGAAAAGAATGCTAGGGGCTTAAGTGTAAGTATGCATTGTACAAAAGAAGGGGTCACAATTTTATATACCAAGGTGTATATATAATTTGAGTAATGCACACATACATTCAACCAACTACCGTGTCTCATGTTTTTGCTGTTGGAATAAAAAATGGGGGCCAATAGAACAAATCGATCCATCAATCGATTAAATTCTTAATCGTAACTGTGAATTGTACTGTCAATTCATTTTAGGTGTTGTTTGTTTGAGAAAGAAGACAGCACTGGTTTCAGGAGATCCAAATTGTCGTTGTATCCATATTTACACAAGTAGAAAAGTTTAAGAATAAGAATAATAATAATAATACGAAGAAGAAGAAGAAGAAGAATAAATAAGAATAAAAAGATCTAAATAAAAAAAAGTCACATGCGAAGCAATAACTCACCTTTGCTCCAAGGAATCCGTACGATTTGATTTGTAACCGCTATCGTTGAGACTCCCTTCGTGTCTCAAAGAAGGTAACGAGTCCCATGGAGATTCTCTTTTATGACTCGAATAACCTGGATTTATTGAACTGGATGCACCTGAACCGAGAGTCGAACTTCCGGATTGCCAACCATCCGAATGCCTGAACCACTGAGCACGTGCTGATTCCCCGATACAGCTGGCGCATCTTAAATATTCAAACGGAACGTGTTTCCACTTTAACGACGCGAATGGCTGAATTATTTTTTTAATTTWTTTATTTTTTCTTTTTTTTCTCATTTTATTATTTTAACGATCAAAAACTTAATGGCCATTTCGTTCTCGTTAAACAACGTCGTTTCTTTTTGACTTTTTTTTTGTTCTTTTCTTTTCTCTCTCGCTCTCTCCCTCTCTCCCTCTCTCTCTCTCTCTCTCTTTCTGTTAATTGACTTTACTAATAACTGTACGTTGTTGTGTACCATCAACAATGCGCAAGCTTGAATTGGGGTCATTCTAGCAACTTCAAATTACATCTACAAATAATGTAACTACGAACTTGTGAATATTATCTGACCTACTTAGAAATTGAAAAATAACCATACCGAGAATTGTAATCGCTGAGGTACCCACGATCACGATCCACCTCACGTTCTCTCTTTTCCCTTATTATCTCGTTGCGATCGCTGTAATAGCCATCCCGATCTTTGCTGTTTTGTCTTTCGTTACAATAACGATACGACACCGGTAACGTCGATGATTTGTTTGAACTCAATCCTGCAA